GCTCTGAGCTTTGCTCCGCTAGCGAAAGGGTTAAGTTTTAATTTATACTGATTTCTATTTAATATCATTCTCTCCCCGTAGGAGCCGGCAGCTGTGAGCTGATTGTACTCTCTCATTATGCAGTCTGTATCACTAATGGCCTGTGACAAAGGCATGCCATCTTCCCGGCCTTACCCCCGAGAGCCAATTAAACACACATACTCCCTTCCTGTTTTGCAGCGCATTACAATGAAATTAAACGGAATTTCAAAATCATTTTCTCCTAAAGACATCTCTTTGCAATAATTAATGCGCGCTATTCCTCGGCAGCTGAAATATTCATCAGGAGCGTTGATGGGGAAAAAAAAAAAAAAGAAAAAAAATTTCAAGCTGATCATCTTGCACCCTACACGTCGCTTGATGATGCTCCGGTCCCAGCCCGCGGTACCCGCCCGGGATGGGGACCCGCGGTGACACCGCGGGCAGTGTCATTATTATAACAATAATAATAAATCACAGCTTCTTCGGGACCCGTAAATCAATAAGATTACACAGAGGGCATCAGAAATCCAGCCCTGCGGACCCGCCGGCGCTGCTGGCACGCAGCAGAAGCGGGGAACGGGGAAGCGGGAGCCGCGTGCACGTTAAGGGTCGGCACAAACGAGCCATCGCGCCCTTCTGCGCTAGCAAGATTACCGGGCGGTTGGGCTGGGGGCTGTATTTACCCCTGGCTGGCAGGAAGGTGGGCACACCGAGATACCAACCACCAGCCGGGGTCAGCACCCGCTGCCTGGTTCAGTATTTAATATAAATTGTGGAACGGTGCCGGCGCACGGGAACCTCGGAGCGCTCCAACCGCTCGCTGAGCCACGCGCAGAGCGCGTTTGAAGCACATTATTCGTGGCCTGTCGCATCCATTCCATTTGGGAAAGGTCCTCAGCCTGGTAAACTCTTGAATTTGTTACCCTGCAGGATGGGCAGGATGAGACTGAAGAGTTCTCCTCCGAGAACGTGCCGTCCCAGTCACCGCAGCTTCCAGCAGGGATGGTCCCAACGGCATCTGCTGCTATCGTGGGGTAACGGGATCTTTTGCTCTGTTTGCAAATATTCCATAAAACCTACCAAGGCACACACAGGACCCACTTGCAAAAGGTATTATTATTATGAGTATTATCTTCTGACGAAATTTGATTTGAAAGAGGCAAATACCAGAGGTGTTCTCATCCCTGGAAACGTTTCAGAAACACTTCTCTCAGTTGAAAGGCGAACCCTTGGAAACCCAGAAAAGGAAACATTCCCTTTCCATTTCCACAACATGTCACGTAGAAATAAGATGAGCCTTGGCTTCAAATTAAAAGGTCTCTTTATTTGGAAGACGCAGACTTTTCACTTTAGAAAAATGTTCTGGCAATTTCAAAACCCCTTCCTGAACTTTGAAGATACCCGCTGGGATTTTTCCCCAGGAAGTTCAGTTTTCCATCAATTACTATTTCCTGGCCGACGAATGACGGTTCCTTGAGAAGTTCCCACGGATCCCGGGGGCCAAGCCCACCATCCCAGGGACACCCCGTACAGCTGTGCTGCCCACGCACGTGGTTCCCACCCTACACACCTTGTTTCATAGATTTCATAGATTTCTAGGTTGGAAAAGACCTTAGAGATCATCGAGTCCAACCATCCCTAATCCCCATTAAACCATATCCCCAAGTAGATCATCCACCCTATTCTTAAACACATCCAGGGATGGGGACTCAACCACCTCCCTGGGCAGCCTATTCCAGTGGCTGACAACCCTTTCAGAGAAGAAATACTTCCCAACATCCAACCTGAATCTCCCCTGACTAAGCTTATACCCATTTCCTCTTGTTCTATCACCCATCACTAATGTAAAGAGCCCTTCCCCTACCTCCCCACCGTCCCTTCTCAAGTATTTGTAGGCTGTAATCGGGTCTCCCCTCAGCCTCCTCTTCTCCAGGCTAAAGATTCTCTTCTCCATTCAAATACATCCATGACCAGGAGAGCAACTCCCCCACAGATGGCACGGCCAGTGCCAGGACAGATCAGCACCTCGGAGCTTACTGGGGGTTTCCCACCGACACAGTCCCCGTGTAAGTCACACCAAGTCCCTCCCGGTGCTCAGGTGCTGAGGTTGCAAAGTTTGAGCCCCCAGGAAACGTTAAGCACCGATACACTCTGCCCACACGCAAACGTTCCTGAACGTACCCCGTTACTTGGGTGACTAATTACGGCCAACGCAAACGAAGCCCCTCCCTGATGCTGGCGTTTGGAAGCACGCCCAGCGCGCACCCCCAGCCAGGCTGTGACCACCCCATCTCCAAACCACCCCCCAGCAGCCATGGACCCCCAGGGGTCAAACTGGAGCCTCTCCCCCCTCTCCCCTCCCTGCCCTGCGCCAGACGCCGCGGGGAAGCCGTCGCGGTACCTGTTTTGAACCAGCCGTCGGGCGTGAAGGCATCCGCCGTTTCCCTGGGTCTGTTCCAGTACTCGCGGAAGACGGAGGGTCCCTTCACCAGCAGCTCCCCTTCTCGCTCCTCGAGACCCGGAGTCACCTAGGACAAGTGCACAGTCAGGGCATCCCAGGGAGATGCAGCCACATCACCTCCACCGCCTGTCCCCTGGCACCACGGCTGGCTAAGGGCAAGCAAG